CAGCAGATGATGGAAATTTTCGGTCAGGGAAATAAGGTTTTTCCAAATCTTCATCATCAAATATAAAATTCCTGGAGCAATCTTTAAGAGATTTTACTTCTTGAAGTCTTTTAAGAGGTACTTTTCTTTCTTGAAAATCTGAATATAAGATGATTGCAAATGACTTCCCATTTTCATCCACTGTGATAGATTTTATGCTTGCTTCACAAAGTGTGCCATTATCTGGAGAAGGGGCAAGACATCTTTCTCCTGGATGCCATATGTCTGTAATAATAAAGAAGAAAATAAAATTTCCAAATCTACCTTATAAAGCAACCCCCCATTTATCCACCGCTATGAGAAAAAAAAAAATGTACCTCACACGAATACCCTTTCCAAATTACTGAAACAAGCTAAATTATAACATGTATAGACATTCTCCTAAAACATATTATCAGATGTTCTCCTATAATAAGCAGAATAAAGGATATATAATTTATTTCCAGTGATTCTCACCCTGGCTGTGTGTCATAATCTCCTCTCCTCATACATGCTTGGACACTACCTCTGTTGATTGTGGTTCAGTGGCTATGGGCCATGGGCATCTGGTTTTATGACTTTGTTTGGTGGACACTGTTGAATTCAAAGGGCCATTCTGATTCACAGCCAGGGTTGAGAACCACCGATTTAGATATTCATGATGATTCGTGAACATCATGTATATTATTCATGATATGGTAGAGTAATAGTAAATGGGACTTGATAATGAGCAAGCTAAAATCCTCTAGACAGCAATGCTTTTGTGATTCTCCTGTCTGCTTTTTCCCATCTCCTTTCTCTGGAGACAGCTGTTACTTCTTGTCAACATTGCTGCTTCTTTTTAAAAAAAAATTTTATTTTTCATTTTTTTCTAGTATCACTGCTTCTAAACTGTTCCCTGAACTTGTATACAACTAACCAAGGGAATCTCTAATCCAACCACAGAGTGATGCGTGCCAGCTTTGTCACAGCTTTTCTCCCTTCTATGTTTTAAAGGCTTGCAGTTCTTTAAAAAGAGATGAATTCTAAGATCTCTTTTATGCTAAGATTTTATTATTCTTTGAAAAGTCTGACCCTTTTCTCTGTATGTATTTATTCCGTGCTTAATTGTACAGCTTTCAATTTTATTTTCTTTTTTTTTTTAAAGATTTTATTTCTTTATTTGACAGAAAGCGAGTGAGAGAGCACAAGCAGGGGAACAGCAGAGGGAGAGGGAGAAGCAGGCCCCCCACTGAGCAGGGAGCCTGATGCGGGACTCGATCCTAGGACCCTGGGATTATGACCTGAGCCGAAGGCAGAAGCTTAACCCACTGAGCCACGCAGGCGCCCCGTCTATTTTATTTTCTATTCAGAAAATATAGCACTATGAACAGGGAGGGGAGTATCTTTAGAGCATACAACTAGTATAATTAAAAGATACCAAATAGAGGAAATTAAGTAAAAATAATTTTCTAAATGGAATTTCTTATAGCAAGAATTACAGAGGAGTTGCATGGCTACAGATGTAAAAATACTAGGAATTATTTTTCTCACATATTTCTTATTGAGACCATTAGTAGTTTCTTAGGGTCTTTCCGATGATTTCTTGTTAGGTTTTTATAACATTTGTGATTATAATATGACTAGTATATTTACATTCTCTTAAGCACGAATAACTCATTATGCTATTCCTCAAAAGTAAAACCATTATTCCCACTAACTTTGGTAAGGTTATTTTGCATAACAATTAGAAGTACACCAGGAAAAATCTGTTCTCCTAATCTTTGGATCCAAACGGTTTGAGAACTGTCACACAATTCTAAAAGACACAGTTTTAACATGAAACTAAAACCTTGATCCATTGTACAGGGATAACAGATTAGTGAGCCCTATTTTCGTACCAGTACCATTTGAGCCTTAAGAATTAACCCTTATAGCAATTCTTAACACATTATTTCTGTTTCACATGATTTGTTTGCCTATCCAGAAAATGCCTTCCAATTTTTAAGGACTTAAGTCATTAATGTGTTTATTATTCAACATACACGTTTTAACACCAATTACCTACAAATATACTGTACCACACAATAGGTATAAAATGAAAAAAAATGTCAAAAATGATATTGCTTAAACCTTGCTCTTTCCAAATCTCATTAAATCTTTCCAAATCTCATTAAATGGCATCATCATCTAGCCAACTTTTCATGATAGAACACATTTAGCCAGCCCTTATTCCTCTTTTTATATTACTCCCTATATCCAATCCATCAGAAAGTCCTGCTGGTTCTCCCTCAAAATTTATCACTTCCCTCCATCATGCTACCACCTCTGTAAAACAACTGTTGGCAAACTTTTTCTGTAAAGAGTCAGATTTGGGCTATTTATTATTTTAGTTTTGCAGGCTATACTGTCTCTTACCCTTGTAACACAAAATCAGGGACAGAGAACACATAAACAAATGGGCATGGCTGTGTTCCAATAAAACTTTATCTACAATAAATATCAGGCTGGATTTGGCCAGGCCCATAGTTTGCTGTCCTCTGCCCTAAGGCATGCCACCTTTGGCTTTCTCCTAAATTACTGCTATGAACTCCTAACCATTCTCTCTGCTGCCCCCACCATTTTCCCCCTACAATCCATTTTACACATAGCAACAATACTATTTAAAAATATAAATTACTGGGGCGTCTGGGTGGCTCAGGCGGTTAAGCATCCAACTCTTGATTTTGGCTCAGGTCATGATCTCTGGGTCCTGGCATCCAGCCCTGCGTCAGGCTCCATGCTCAGTGGGTATATGCTTGAGGATTCTCTTCCCCTCTCTCTACCCCTCCCCCTGCTTGCATGCTCTCTCTCTAAAATAAATAAATAAATCTTAAAAAAAAATTAAAAATTAATAAATCTTTAATTTAAAATTTTTCAATAGTTATCATTGCATAAAGAATAAAGTACAAACTCCTTAGTATGGCCTATAAGTCCCAGTATGATCTGCCAATACTTACCTCTCCAACCCATCTCAATTTTTCTCTGTACTCAAACATGCTAAGCAAGTCTTTTCTCAGCTGTTTTTATGTCATCTCTTCACCTTATTTAAAGTAGGGTACCCTTTTATTCTGTATCTCAGTATTTTATTGCCTCCATAACTCATATCACAATGTTTAATGACTATGTTTACTTGTTTTTATCTATCTTTCCCACTAGAGAATAATTTCCTTTCCAGGAAAGTGTCTGTATTTTTCAAGTTTTATCCCCAGCCTCGGCACTCAGTAGGCACTCAATAAATGTGCTGAATTTATTAACAAAAACACACCCTTGATCTTACAGATCCTAGATACCTAGTGAGGGAGACAGATACCAAAAAGTTCACAAACACGAAATTGTAGCAAGTGCTTCAGGAGATAAGAACAAAGTGCTATGGAAAAGAGTATTGAAGAAACATAATTTAAAAGGGAAGAAGATCTAAGAAGAGTATCTCTGAGCACACAGCATGTGCAAAAGCCCTATGGGCTTCATACAACAATTTCTGGAAATCTATTTGGTTCCTTAGTTTGAATAATTTCTAGAACTAAACAGATTCAGTTAAGTTTGAGCAAAGGCTGGAATCTCTCTGTATCAAATTCTAGAACAAATAGCTTAAATTGGGAGGATTTCCTGTAGGGTTGAATGAAGGGTCCTCTTTAACATCATTTCCTTTTCTCCTTTATTCCAGACTGGTCTCCTTGCTGTTCCTCCACTATGGCAAGCATGCTCCCACCTCAGGGCCCGAGCTTTCTATTCCTTCCATCAGCGCTCTCCCTAAATACCCAAATGACTGATTCTTTCACTTCATTTAGGTCTCTGCTCCAATGGCATCTCCTCAGAGGTGTTTTCTCTGACCACTGAATCTAAAATAGCACTCCCTGCCACTCTTTCTTTACCCTGCTTAATTCCATTTTTAGAGAAAAATATGGAATATTTGTTATTGTTTATCTCAACTTAGTTCCCTAGAGCAGGGACTTACTTTGTTCACTACTATATCCTGGGCACCTAGAACAACGTTTGAAACTCAAATACTTGTAGAACTAACAAATATTTATACAGAGCTAACATTTGAAGACTTATGTGTGCCAGGCATGTGCTTTATTTAAGCCTCGCCACTATCCTTTCATGACTTCATGTAAGTAATATTGTTAGTTCCATTTTATAAATGGTGAAACAGATAAAGGTTAACCAACTTGCCCTTGGTTACATAGCTTAAAAATGGCAGATCCTGGATTTGACCCAAGCTATCTGACCTTGTAACTACCATACTGTACCATGCACACATGAATGAACAAGTCCCTGAACTGAGTAGTCCCTGCTCCTTTTAACTGAGGTCTGAGCACCACAGTCACTACAATCTCCACTCAGCAGCTTCTCTACTTATTTCAACTGCCAGGCTTCTATGGGTAGTTATATTTGTGATCCCTGAGTTATAGTGTCATCAATTCCTAGCCTTCAGAGTTGAGGCTTATTACATAAACCTCTCTAAACTTTAGCTCTGAATTCCTCATCTATTTAATGATATCGATACCTTCCTCAAAGGAAAGCATGGAGATAAATAATCAGCATATTGCTGGGCACAGAACAAGCACTCAATATCCGATAGTTCTTATTATATCACTTTTAATAATGAAAGCTATTAATACGGGGACAAGAAGGCATCCCATTTGACTTGTTAGATAGCCACACCCTCCTTAAACCCTCTCTTGAGGACCCAATAAAGGTTGACTGTAAGGCCCTGATTCAGTACATCATATATAAGGTCTTTGTGTAATCAAATAATGTGAACTGAATATCTCAACCTTTATTCACCTATGTAACTACAAACGTCTACCATTCGCTAAGAACTGGGGCATACAAGGACAAAGGATAAACATACCACACATTTACTGAATGCTTATTATGGACCTGGGTCACATAAGTGCTTTGCATACACTATCTTATTTCGTAATCACAAGAACTCAGCAATGATCTCCATTTTACAGATGAGGAAACTGCCCAAAGTTGTTCAGCAAGTAACTGTCACAGCCAGTACTAGATCCAGTCTGACTCCAGAGTCCAGGTTCTCAACACTGAATCCCAAAGAAATGGTGCCAGACTCCGGCTGTCATTCAGAGGAGCCACAAGGTAAAATCCCAACCCCAAGGGAACTGGCAGGAACGGGTCCAACCCAGCGCAGTAAAGACAGGTGCCTAGGCTGAGAAGCGAGCTCCGAGCTTGTACCTTTGCCGGCGGTTTCCGCGCGAGGCTTGGGGGCAGAGGGATCCATCCGGCCAGGGGGAGGGGCCGGGCAGCCTGGTTGCGTACAATACTCGGCAGGCGGCCGAGGACCTGGAGGAGGCGGCGGGCGGGAAGACTGAGGCCAACGCCACTTCCTGCAGCCCTTCGTACATCGCCCCCCTGAAGCGCGACGCCAGCGGACGAGAGGGAACACAGGTGGAGCCCGACAGGGTCCAGGGAGAGGGGAGGCGGCGTCCCAGACAGCGGCAGAGCTGGAGAGCGCTGTGGAGGCTGGCAAGGCGGCGCTCACCTAGTCATCTCGCGTTCCGCCGGGGGAGAAAGCAAGCGGGCAAGTGGACCCCTGACCCTCCCTTTCAGAGTTGGCCCTACCTCTACCTTCCCCTGCAACTTTCAGCCCTGGCTCGGAAAATCCCGCGAGATCGGGCCCCTGAACTGTCATTGCGGTCTCGCGATAACAAAATCTTGGTTCACATGGGCGGAGCAGTCTTCCTGCCTTCTTGGCCCCGGGAAGCGGGTTAACACAAAGGTCCGCGACCGTTGCAAGTATCGCGAAGTTTGATATCGCCTGCCTGCCGGTTGCGCGTCTTACGGACAACAGAGGGATCTGAAGATACCCGTGGGCTCGCACCTGCGGCAGTCCTTAAGGGCTGACTTACAGCTGGAGACCGTGTCCGCGATCGCGGCCTGCTGCTGGCTTATATCTAGTACTTCCTCGTGTTCCTCGTGTAGCGCATGCCCAGGAACTTGAGGCGAGTGACTCCCTCCTGGAGCGCTCAGCGGGGTGGGACACCCGCCCGGAAGCCAACGCGTCACGACACTCGCGGGAGACTGAGTAAACTTAGTGGTCACACACTAAAATATAGTCAAAAATAACTCTTGTGAGTACAAACCAGCAATACATGCCGTAAATAGAAGATAAAGGTAAAAATACTATGAAAATTTAAAGTGTCCGTGTACCATCCACAGTTAGAATGGTTTGTGAGGCATTATGGGAAAACACCAAGCAGGCAGTCGGGCTGTTTTTGTTAAAGCATCATCAGAACAACACACTACTCACAAGTTAATGGATACTACTTTTCTAATACTTTGCCAGACCTTACACGTTGATTCATCGAAAAAAAAATGGTTTCTGCACATGTTAAAATGTTTTCATATACTGTAGGATATTTCATTGAACTAGATTTGCTTGAATGGGCCTGCATTGGTTTCCTATTGCTGCTGTAACAAATTACCACAAATTTTAGAGGCTTAGAACAGCACAAGAGTATTAGGAATACCACAAATTTATTATTGTACGGTTCTGTAAGTCAGAATTCTTCCTTGGGTCTCATTAGGCTAAAATCAAGGAATCAGCTGGGCTACATTCTTTTCTGGAGGCTCTCCAGAATCCGTTTGCTTGCCTTTCTACACATTCCTCGGCTCATGGCCACCTTCCTTCTGTCTTCAAAGTCAGAGTTGTTGCCTCTCTCTGAGCCTTCCATAGTCACATCTTCCTCAGATTGCAGCTGGGTAAGATTCTTTGATCTTATGATCAGATTGGGTCTACCTGAATAATGCAGGATAATCTTCCCATTTGAAGGTCTGTACCCTCAATTATATCAGCAAAGTCCCTTTGCCAGCTAAAGTAATATATTCATGAATTCCAAGGATTAGGATGTAAACATCTTTAGGGGCTCATTATTCTACCTACCCAAGGGTCTAAATGAGGAAAGCTATGTTTGTTTGCTGCCAAGAGGTATCTATACTTTGAGAGATACTAACAATTAGCAATATGTTTTCATAAAATCCTTCATCTAGAGTAGCCCTTATTTCTGTTTACCAACAGGTAGAAACTTTGTATCTAAGAAAAACATCTAATTTACTCACTATGTGTGAGATGTTGGCCCTCACACATGGTTGAGAAGTTATGTCATTTAACCTCATTGCTTAAGTGTCCTCACCCATGACAACAACCCATGGCAAGTTACAGTAACCTACATGAAAAAGTGTTGTTGTAAGTATTAAATAGGTTAAGTAAAACATCTAAAACAGTACCTGCCATAGGAAGGAATATGTGGATTGCTATTACTGTTGTTATCGATGGAATGCATCCACTTGAAAGTTGCATTCTACATAACCATTGCTTCATTTTAATATTTTGGCTAGTAGTTGGTAGTACATTATTACTTAGATTAGAATTTTAGACTACATTCTAACTTAAAGCACCATGGATTGTAAGGCATATTATTTAGGTACAGCTGAAAAAAAGAAAAAAGCTGCTCATTATGTAAATTGTAACTCTTGATTTTTAACATGCATCCTGATACTGGAAATTTTTAAATGTGGGGGAAAAAATCTGCTTCTTGGAATTGATGAAATATATCTTTTTTACTTAAATTCTTTTCACATTGTCTCCAAAATTAATGGCAATTGGAAATTTCAACCAAGCTTACTTTTTTCTTTTTACAACTACCAGAAAAGTTTGATTGTTCCCCCCCACACACACTAAAATAACTAGTTGTGTAATATTGTCTTATTTTTCCAGAGGTCTAATAATTTAAGACCTTGATTTTTTTTTTTTAAGTTTTTTTTTTTTTTTTTTTTGAGAGAGAGAGAGAGAGCATGAGGTGAGGGGGCAGAGGGAGAGGAAGAAGCAGGCTCCCCACTTAGCAGGGAGCCTGGCACCCTGAGCCAAAGGCAGACACTTAACTGACTGAGCCACCTAGGCACCCCAAGACCTTGATCCTTAAGGTCTGACATCTAAATAGAAGTGATCAAACAAAATCAGAAGTAAATTTTTATTTAAATGAAAGAGGTCATCTGGTTGAAGGAATACTGGTGACTAACAGAGGAGGAGGGGGCCTTAATTTCTGAGTATTAATTATTTAACCTCACCACCATGTTTATGATGCATAGTGAAGCAGAAAAAATCATGACATAAAAATATGTGTTAGTGAATTAGATGCCTCACAAAATTAGATATCCTTAAACATTCCTTCCCCCACTAACAGTAGTTTTTGTCTAAGGCCATTGCAAGGACATCCTTGTCTAGGTGCCGATGTTGTACACATCTAATACTGTAATGCTAACCACTGCAAAGTGAATTTGAAAGTCTTGCAAAATATTTGGGAATTCCTAAAGTCAATATAAATGATCTTGGATAACTAGAACATGTGCAAAACCATTGGCAAAGGAGGAGCTAGCAAAATTAAACTTATTAAAACCACAAAAAGAGAAGAAACACAGAGGATGATAGCATAGACATTTCTAAAGAATATTACTTGAATATCAAAGAGACCCTTGAGAAAAATGATTCTAATATTTTATCAAAGAAATTTTTTTGTGTTTGCAATACAAAAATTAAATATATACCTATATGTGGTTCATAGACCTCCAAAGTTGTGTGTTAATTCAGCAGAAAAGCTCAAGAAAAAAAAAAAATAGGTGTGTATTTCAGTTCATTTGGCCTGCTATAGTAATACCACAGATTGGGTAGCTTATAAACAACAGAAATCTATTTCTCACAGTTCTAGAGGCTGGGGAATCCAAGATCAAGGCATCAGCATGGTTGTGTTCTGGTGAGACCCCTCTTCCTGATTCATAACTGGCACCTTGGTATGTCGTCATACAGTGGAAGGGGCGAGGGAACTCTGTGGTATGTCTTTAAGAGTACTAATTTTATTCATGAGGGCTCCACATGTGTGTATGTCATCACTTTGGGCACTAGGATTTCAGCATATTAATTTTGAGGGGACATGAACATTCGGATCATAGCAATATGAGAACTTTGAACTTTGAAAATTTCTTAGTTAGATGATTTTAGGTTGTAGCATTCCTCCCTTGATAAAATGTCCCAGCCTCTGTGTCAAGGGAAAGAAAGGAAGAATAGATGAGTAAGAGCAAGGTAAACATGGTAGAAATAGATGTGTCCTTTATCAATAAGTAATCTATAGATTGGCTCAGTTGGTTAAGCGACTGCCTTCGGCTCAGGTCATGATCCTGGAGTCCCGGGATCGAGTCCCGCATCAGGCTCCCTGCTCGGCAGGGAGTCTGCTTCTCCCTCTGACCCTCCTCCCTCTCATGCTCTCTGTCTCTCATTCTCTCTGTCTCAAATAAATAAATAAAATCTTTAAAAAAAAAAAGTAATCTATAGAGTTTAAAAGGCAACATTATTCAACAATATGAATATACTTAACATTTCTGAACTGTACACTTAAAAATGATTAAGAAGGTTAGTTTTCTGTGTGTGTGTGTTTTTACTACAATAAAAAAAAAAAAAAAAAAAAAACCTGGGTCAACAAAAGGACAATTTAAAACTTGAGCCAAGTGTAGTGAAAGATACATAGTGAATGGCAGGTTAGTGCTAGGAATGTGATGACTATTACATCTTGAACCTTCACCAATGCCATTTTTACTTAATAGACTCATTGAAGAAATCTCAGAGGTCCTCGATCCAATGCTCTAACTTAAAGATAATAAGATAGTTTGAGAAATGTTAGCTTATTTTACCAAGGTCACAAATAGCAAATAACAAAATCAGGATTAGAATACGATTCTTCATTCTTGTTCCAATATGATAGGTGTATAAAAATACTATTTCATAGAAGATATTTTTAAATTTGAAAAATTAAAACCTATGATTCTATTTCTTGTACTATTCCATATCTCATGTCATGTAATAAGCCTAAAAATTCTGCAACAAAACACCAAGACCTGCAGGTTGAAATACTATTATAAAAACACCCAAAATGCATTGCTGAGAAAAAAAAAAAAAAGGTAAAATACTCATAGGCCAAAAATAAGGAGGAAACTGAAAACCAGCTTACTAAGTTGGCACTTATGCCACTGCTGTACCGGAGGCATTTGCCCATCTCAGTTACAGAAAGGTCTGAGTTTATCTGTCTTATGGGGACAGAAGACATGGTGTGAAGCTCTTACAAGGTCACGATTTGGAACTGAGACCCTCATTTGAAATCAGAAACCCTGAAAGGCAACACCCTCAGTGAAATTACTGGGTAGAAGAAAATCTGGAAAGCAGAAAAGGGGGAGGATGAAGAAGAGAGACTTGTCTGTCATGGCATGGGCTCTTTGGGCCGGGTTGTGTGTGTGTGTGTTTGTGTGTGTGTGTGTGTGTGTATGTATGTATGTGTGTCTATTTCCTTTGACATTTTGAAACCACTGCCATATCCCCAAATGGATTTAGGATTTGAATTCACATAACCCGTATGACCTAGGAAACCCCAAGCCAAGATAACATAATGTAGTGTCAGGTTAATTGCATCCAGGTTGGAAGAAGGAAGCAAGCTCATCTTCTCTAAAGGAAAACATGTTAAAACAAAGATTCCTCAAAGTTTCCAGAGATAAATCCCAAACAGTTCATAATTCCCAAACTGTAAAAAAAAAAAAAAAAAAAAAAATGCATAAAACAAGCCACCATGAACAAAAGCCAGCAGGGAAAACATGCAAGAGAAATAGACTCTTAGTGATTTCAGTTAACAGAAGTATTAGATACAAGTGTTGGTGTGTAGTTAAAATATTTACTGATATATTTTGAAACTGAAAACATGGAAAGAAAAAAGGCACTGTCAGAAAACAGCAAATAGATTTGTTAAAAGAACCAGAACTTCTGGAAATGAAAACTTTAATTACTGAAATTAAAAACTCTATGGTAAGTTAAACAGCAGATTAAACACGCCCTAATAGAGAACTCATGAACTGAAAGATCTAAAGAAATGACTCCAACTGCAGAGCAGAAAGTCAAGTGGAGGGAAGCCTGGGTGGCTCAGTTGGTTAAGTGTCCGCCTTCAGCTCAGGTCATGATCCCAGGGTCCTGGGATCAAGTCCCACATCAGGCTCCTTGCTCAGCAGGAAGCCTGCTTCTCCCTCTACCTGCCGCTTCCCCCCTGCTTGTTCTCTCTTCCTCTCTTTCTCGATCTATGACAAATAAAGAAATAAAATCTTTTATTAAAAAAACAGTCAAGTGGATGGAAATATAAAAGAAAGGTTAAGAGAAATGGAAGGTAGAATTGAATTTCCGGAAGTAATGAATAGGGAGGCTGAGGGGGAAAAAAATGTTGAAAGAAATGAAAAATGAAATCTCAGATTCAGGAATCATAGTGAATTGATTGTAATACAAAAAAATAATTAAAATAAAATTAAAGGGCGCCTGGGTGGCTCAGTCGTTAAGTGTCTGCCTTCAGCTCAGGTCATGATCCCAGGGTCCTGGGATCGAGTCCCACATCGGGCTCCCTGCTCAGCGGCAAGCCTGCTTCTCCCTCTCCCACTCCCCCTGCTTGTGTTCCTGCTCTCGCTGTCTCTCTCTCTGTCAAATAAATAAATAAAATCTTTAAAAATAAATAAATAAAAATTAATTAATTAATTAATTAATTAAATTAAATTAAAATAATTAAAAATAATAAAATAGTAATATATAATATATATATCAGTATTTAGACACGTTGAAGTAAAATTACAGAAGCAACAAAGAATCTTGAAAGCAGCCATTAGAAAAGACAGATTACCTATGTGGAATAGAATGACAATTTAACTGATAAAAGTTAACTGACAACAGTTAATAGTAACAAGAAAGTCAGAAGACAATGGAATAGTAACTTCCAAGTGCAAAGAAAATAACTATCAACCTAAAATTTTATAATCAGCTAAACTATAATAAGAGCAAAATAAGAATATTTTCAGACAAAACTAAAAACATAACACCAGTGGACTCTCATGACAAGACCTTTTTAAGGATTTTGAACTAAAAAAAAAAGTGAAATGATCTGAAATGTAAGAATGATTAACAAAATGAATAACCATTGACTGTATAAAACTATAACAATGATGATATAATTTGGATATGTAAAAAATAAAGGAAAATTAAAACACTGGACAGAAATAACTTAAAAATGTGATAATAGTGGAAGACTTTAAGGTATTTGAGATATTTCTGTTGGAAAAGAGAAGAGTAGAGATAACTTTTACTAAGCAAAGTATTCACATTAAGTGTCAGAGTATATGTAAATGGAATATTAAAGGAATGTGTAAGTTCTTAATAAAAATGCTAAGAATATAAACATCAGACAAAACAAGATTTAATGTAAAATGCAGTGAATGTAAAGAAATTAACCACGTAAATGATAAAAGTCTTAGGTTGCCAGGGAGGTAAAAAGTTTTCAATTTATCAACGCTATTAACAGTTCCAAATATATGAAAGTTGTCAGAATTTCAAGGGGTAAATGATAAGTCCACAAACATGGTAGGAATTTTTAATATTCTTCACAGTAATTGTAAGACTAAGAAAAGTAGAATTGAGCCACACAATTAGCAATCTTGATCTAGTAGACGTGTATAGAATACTCCATTCTATTGTTAGAGAATAAACATCTTCACAAGCAAATAGGAAACATTCATAAAAATTGACCATGAGGGGCGCCTGGGTGGCTCAGATGGTGAAGCGTCTGCCTTCGGCTCAGGTCATGATCCCGGAGTCCTGGGATCGAGTCCCGCATCGGGCTCCCTGCTCCTTGGGAGCCTGCTTCTCCCTCTGCCTCTCTCTCTGTGTCTCTCATGAATAAATAAATAAAATCTTTAAAAAAAAAAAATTGACCATGAATTGTGTCATAAAGCAATTCTCAACAGCTTTCCAGCAATCTGATTCATACAGATCATGTTCCCTGATCCCATGAATTAAGTTAGAAGTCAACATTTTAAAATTATGTTTAAAAGATTATATATTTGGAAATTTAGAAACACTTCTAAATAACTTAGGGGTCAGAGTTTTAAAAAATCATGATGGAAATTAGAAAATAATTGTGAAGCAGAGTTAAAAATATGTTTTTAGGCTCTTTCAGCTTGAAGTCCTAAAATGGCAAACCTCATGTTTTAATGTAAGATAGTCTTCTGTATAATATTTCCAAAGGAAGTCACCAACATAGATTTTATGATCCTAACTCCTCATCTACATTGAGGATATAACAGGGCTGGCTGAGAGGGATTAGAGGATGGGAATGGGAGATTAGAAGAAGAGATTTATAAGGCTATTATAGTGCTAAATCCCACACTTCAAGACAAGCAAGAGGCTTTAGAGGGATCACTTGGAAAGTTTAATATGCATCCCCTGGAATTTGTGGGACATGGTGGACCATTTGCCTCAAACCTTAGAAATCTGAAGGACAAGTACTACGGCTGGCTAACTGCTCTGAAGTTGAGTAAGAAAAGTTGATGCATTGGGGGCCACCGCACAAAAGATGACAAAAGGATGCACATTTCCCCTGGAGCAGATGTGGGTCTTAGGTGAGAGGAAGCCAGCAGTGACTTCAAGATGACCCTAATCAGGGATCTGGATAGCTGGATGCCTAGGGGTAAAGTACTGACTGAAGACCACAGGAAAGCACCCTGTGAAAGATGTTTAAGGACAGTCTATGCAACTACATTATAGTTAAGTAAGACCTTTCCTGTTCCTTACTTTATCTCCTTTTCCCAAGATTAATCCTGGAAAAGTCAGAAGCAGCCTAGTAAGTAGGGGAGGAAGGCAGAGACATAATTCTAATAAAAGAAGCAGTCATACTTACTTTTCTCACTTCACCACCTGTAGCAGATAGGAGCTCTGGTAGAGGAAGAACTTTAAGTTTGAATGAGGGTAGAAATCTTAATTTTAATATCACAGTTGACTTAACTGCTAAACAGAGACTTTCTGCTTATTTGTCTAGTCGCTAAAAGTGACCACAAGATTTTTTATTGAGAAAGACCAAGAAGACTTATGTGATCTTGCCTAATTTCCTTTTAAGGTTATAGAGAAAAACTAGCCCTTAAAGTGGGTTTGAATGAAGAGTACAGCAAATAAATGAATTTCTATTCTAATTTCATCTAATGGGTTCTGTTGTTTCAACATCCATTAGGACTGAATAATAATAGAAATACTGCACATCAAAGTTAGTAAGAAATTAGTACTTAGGGAGTAAGAAAATGCTTATACTGAGAAAGAAGAAAAGCTGAATGATCTATACTTCCAGAACAACTAGTCCTAAAGAAAATAGAAGAAAAATAATGAACAGAAATTAATGAAAGAGTAACACAAAATACAATAGCAGTAATAAAGTGAAAAGTTAACTCTGAAAAGAAAAATAAAGTAGGCAAACCACTGGTAAAATGCATCAAAAAAAAGAGGAAAAAATACAAATAAACATTAGGAATGAAAAATAGGGCAAAACTAAAGCCAATTCAAAGAGTAGAAAAATATGGGAGTATACTCTAAGCAATTTCATGCCAAAATTTTAAAGGTATATTTCCTTAAAAATATGTCAAAAAGGAAAAGAGGCCCTGAATGAAATTATAACTGTTAAGAAATAACTTAAGTCAGTAGTTGAAAATGCCCGTCCAAGGAAAGACCAGATCCACATGGCTAGATAGGCAAATTCTACCAAATATTCAAGGGAATAGATATATTCAGTATTATATAAACTCTTCCAGAGAATAGAAGAAAAACTCTCCAACCTATTTTATCGACTTAGTGAAATCTAGACAGCAAAATCTAATAAGGACAGTATGACAATTGAAAATTACAAGCCAACTGTAGTTATCATGACTGATGCAAAAATTCAAAACGAAATACTAGTGAATCAAGTCTAACTTTGAATAACAACAACAATAATAATAATGCATCATGACCAAGTTAAGTTTATCTCAGGAATGCAAGTATAGTTTCAAATTGGAAAATCTAGTAGTGTAATTGATTAATAGATTAAAGGAGAAAAATTCTAAGATCATCTCAAGAGATGGAAAAATAATTTTATAATATTCAACCAAATATTGGCAAGATAGCAATAGAAGTAAACTTCCTTATTCCAAACCTGTAGGAAACACTAAATGGCAAAATGGTACACACATTCCTTTTAAAACCATGAACACAAAGATATCTCTTATCACCACATCTGTTCAACATTGATCCTAGTCATTTCAATAATAAAAGAAAACTAGATATAAATTATAGATATTAGGAAGAATCAAAACTGCTATTATTTAGGAGAAGATTCTGAGTTGATGGTGGAGTAGGAAGCACCCGGAATCTGTCCCCCCAGCTAGGCAATAACTGAACTGGCAGAATCTGTCTAATGTAACTATTTTGGAACTCTAGTTTGTTGAGCGCTTGCATCTTCCAAGGGGAAGACTTGGGACAGTGAATTGTGGTTAATTTTGGTCAATTTCAGATCGTAGCACAGTAGCAGCAACCCATTCACCACCCCCAGCCACTAATTGGTAGTTGTGCATGTGTTTCTCAAGCAGCTTGCACAAAGCTGTGGGAACTAGAGTGGACAAAAAGAATCTGTGTTCTGATTGCCGATTACTGCTTCCAACCAATCACAGAAGCACAAAGAAGAAGCAGCCATTGTTGCACCTACCCCCATTGTGCAAGCCCCTCCCTCTCTGGCTGAAGTGATAGCCAGGGTATTTAAAGGGCCAGCCACCCTTTTCCCCCTGCTTCATTTTTTTTTTTGCCTTTTTTTCTTTTGGGAGCCAGACAGTAAAGAGTAGGACATTTGAAAAAAACTGCATACATGAGGAAAATTAGAAAGTGACCACACATGCCCAGGGAAAGGCTCAGAAGAGACCCAAGAAAACATTGCATTTACACAAGTTGATCCTAGACACAGAGACAGCCTACAACAACAAAAAAAACAATAACAAAAACAGCAAATCCTGGTGAAGGTAAGAATCAGATATCCTTAGAGTTACTACATTATTAAATTCAAATGTCCAATGTCCAACCAAAAAGATCACAAGACATACAAAGAAACAGGAAAGTATCACCATTCAAAAGAAAAAATAAATCTGCAGTAACTGTACCTGAAAAAGAATTAATGGCAGATACACTAGATAAAGACTTTTTAAAAACTGTCTTTAAAATTGCTCAAAGAACTATAGGAAGATATGGAGAAAGTCAAAAAAAATGATGTCTGAACAAAATAGAAATTAAAGAGATAGAAAACCTAAAAAGAAAATGCAAAATGAAACGCTGGAGCTGAAAAGCACAATAACTAAAATAAAAAACTCACCAGAAGAATTCAAAAGCAGATTTGAGCAGGCAGAAGAATAAGTGAACTTGTAGATAGGAGAATGGAAATTATTAAGGCTGAGGAACAGAAAGAAAAAAGATTGAAGAAAATTGAGCAGAGCCTAAGGGGCCTGGGGACACAATAAAATGGACCAGCATACACATGGTGGGAGTCCCAGAAGGAGAAGAGTGAGAGAGAAAAAGGGCAGAGAGAATATTTAAAGAAATAATGGTTGGAAATGTCCCAAATTTGATGAAAAACATGAATATAAACATTCTAAGAAGATGAACTCAAAGAGACCCATACCAAGACACATTATAATCAAACTTTCAAAAGCCAAAGATAAAGAGAATCTTGAAAGCAACAAGAGAGAAGTAAATCATCACATACAAGCGATCCTCAAGATTATTAGCAGATTTCTCATCAGAAAGTTTGGAGGCCAGAAGACAATGAGCCCATATATTCAAAGTGCAAAAAGAAAAAAACAAAACAAAAACCTGTCAATAAAAACTGCCAAAACTGTCCTTCAAAAATGAGGGAGAAATTATGACAATCCCAGATAAACAAAAGCTGGTTCATAACCACTAGACCTGCCCTACTATAAATGCTTAATGGAATCTTGCAAGATAAAATGAAAGGTCATAGAACAGTAACTCAAATGTTTATGGCAAAATAAAGATATCAATAAAGGTGTATACAGGGGAAATTATAAAAGCAGGTATTATTGTAACAATGGTTTATAACTATGTTTTGTTTGTTTTCTATGTGATTGAGGAAACTAATACATTTAAAGAAAAAATCATTAGTTATAAAAGCTAGTATTACTGTAACCTTTGTTTGTACGTCCAAGTTGTGTTTTCTATGTAATTTAGAAGACTAATTCATTTAAAAGAATTACTTATGTGTGTGAGCACACAATGTTTAAATGTATAATTTTGTGACATCAAAAAAACAGGAGTGTGGACAAAGCTATAAAGGAGCAGAGTTGTTTATATTATTGAAATTAAGCTGGTATAAATTCAAATTAAAGTGTTATAACTTAAGGATGTTAAATGTAGTGACCACCAAAGAAAATAGCTGTAGAATATACACAAAAGGATACGAGAAAGGAATTTAAACATTTCATTACAAAAAAATATATATCTTTTTTTTTTTAAGATTTTATTTATTTATTTGACAGAGAGAGAGATAGCAAGAGCAGGAACACAAGCAGGGGGAGTGGGAGAGGGAGAAGCAGGCTTCCCACCATGCAAGGAGCCCAATGTCGGGCTGGATCCCAGGACTCTGGGATCACGATCTGAGCCAAAGACAGACACTTAATGACTGAGCCACCCAGGTGTCCCTACCCTCCTTAGTTCTTACATCCCATTTGTCCATGGCACACCCCCCCAAAAAATCATTTAAACACACACACAAAAAAAAACAGTAATGCAGGAAATGAGGGACAAAAAGAGCTATAGGCATGTAGAAAATAAATAGCACAATGGAAGAATAAGTCCCTCCTTGTTAGTAATTATTTTAAATGTAAGTGAATTAAACTCCAATTAAAAGACAGAGATTGGCAGAATGGAGAAAAACACATGAACCAACCATATGCTGTCTACAAGAGACTCATGTGATATTCAAAGACACAGATAGGTTAAAAGTGAAAGGGTAGAAAAAGATATTCCATGCAAACAGTAAACAAAAGGTTGGTGAAGGTGGGGTTATGCTAATATCAGACAAACTAGGCTTAAAATCAAATAAGTTACAAGAGACAAAGAAGGACATTATATATTAATAAGAGATTTCATTAATACTTGGACTATCTCCCTTCACTCATTTACTCAAAAGTGTGGCAGCATAGAAAATTAGCTGAGAGAAATACCATAGAAAAATATTTTGCCCAACTAGAAAAGTACTAATGAAGATATATTTTTCCAAGGAATTAAGTAAACTCTAAAAAATCCATTACATATTCATAATAGAATCTTTTTTCCCAAAAGATTCCAGTTAAAGTAATGGGAATTACATTTGAATAACATCTAGATAATGCAAAAACTGTAGATTTACTTTCATTAAGCAAGATAGAAATTTTAAATATCTGGCTTACATTAAAAATTGTAGGTTGAAAATGTTTCCAATCTTTACCCTAGGGTGAAAAATGTTTTCAGATTACATGATTTGTAGGGTCCATTTCAAGGCTAAAATTCGATGTGATTTCTGTAAAAGATAACTTTTCCCTAAGTTATTTTAAGACCACATCACTTCATTATTTGTGACTTTACCCGGATTTTCATTGCTTAAATTCTTTATTTTTTTCTTAATATTTTATTTATTTATTTGACAGAGAGAGAGAGAGAGCAAGAGAGGGGACACGAGCAGGGAGAAGCAGGGAGAAGCAGGGAGAAGCAGGGAGAAGCAGGGAGAAGCAGGCTTCCCACTGAGCAGGAAGCCCAGTGTGGGACTTGATCCCAGGACCTTGGGATCATGATCTGAGCTGAAGGCAGATGCTTAACGACTGAGCCACCCAGGCGCCCCTGCTTAAATTCTTTAAACAAGGTAACTGTTTCAAAAGAGAATCAATATACATAGTTTAAAGTGGTAAAAATCACATTTTTAAAAGTATGCTTATGTACTTAATAAAGATGGTTGCCAAAGTTTTACTTTTCAAATATGTTCCTGAAGGGAGTGACACCTTAGGAACCATGAAACAGTTAAAAGGGAATTCTGTGGTCATTACAGGATGTGCAAACTTGAATGGGAGTTTATTCTGAAAGCAAATATAATGTTGTGCTTCCTTCATAAGTATCATTTTATCACATTGCCCTATATTCATCAATATATTTGAATGAGATGGCATGATCTGGGATTGACAGTGTGTGGTTAGTAAGAAATTAACTCTAAGAATTAATTAAAACAGGGAAATATGAAAAGCATGTAAAAGTTAAATGAGTTTATTTTTAAATTTGATACTATTTTTGTTAATATAAAGCAACTCTTTCAGGGGAACTGCTCTCTCCAATTTATGCATAGATTATTTGACAGACTGGTTGAAATATTCCATACCACTTTTGCACAGTAGAAATGAAAAACCCAAAGAATTCATATTTTCAAGACTGTTAGCACCTTCTCACATTTCAAGAATTTGATATTCAATTTCTGTAGAAAAACATGGGCTTTATTTTTCTTACTGTTATTTATATAGGTCATTTTTACAAACAGATTCTCAGTATCTAACAGCCTGCAATAATTGCATTTTCTTAAGGTCTTCTTGCATTTATCATTGTTGTCACAATAATGCCTCTTGTGGCTGTGAATTGTCCTGAGTCTTGCCATATTCACAATCGTGACAAGATCTATCTTTTTTTTCCTATCAACTTTTTTATTGCTTTTCTTCAAGAAAGATTGTATCAGTTCCTAAGTGACAATTTACATATCTGGTAAAGTGGGACATTATTGCTATTATTTTGGATGGCAATTAGGAGAAGCAGAGAATATGATTGTGGGTTCATACATGGTTATTATTAGAAAAAAATTATTTGACTAAGCAAAATAAGCCTATAACCAAAACAAAGGTGATTTAAGCAAAGAAAGTCCCCATTCTCTCTTCCACTTCTTAAAAAACTTAGGTTTTTTATTCATATGCATGGATATTCTTTTTTTGTTTATTGAGATATAATTGACATAACATTCTATTAGTTTCAGGTGTACAACATAGTGACTCAATATTTGTATATATTGTGAAATGATCGCCACAGTATGGTTAACATCTGTCATCATACGTAGCTAAAAAAATTTTTTCTTGTGATGAAAGCTTCTAAGATCTACCCTTTTAGCAACTTTCAAATATACAATATGGTATTATTAACTATTATCACCATGGTGTACCTTACATCCTAAGTGGATATTCTTGAAGGAAAAAAGAAAACTACCACTTCTTTCCACTTTTAGGAATTTTAACTATTATATGGTGACAAATATTACTAGTCTAAAGGAGTATAGTACAAATCTTATCATCTACATTATTCAAAACAGGTCATCCCTCCAAGCTGGTCACAGTTTAATAGAGGAGAAAGGGCTGTATAATGTGATAAATGACATGTACAAAGGGTTCCTTCATTTTCTACTGAAACTAATATCTTTCAGGCTCCAGATATAAATATACAAACCAATGATAACCTGCATGATTCTTTTCCTATGTATTTTTTTATATCATATATAATCCACAGGCCATTTTAATGGACTAACTCAGTTTAATCTTAAATTCTATTAAATGCCTATTTCTTTTCTGCCATATAAATTCTCTAGCTATTGGGGCATGTGAGTGGCTCAGTCAGTTGAGCGCCCAACTCTTGATTTCAGCTCAGGTCATGATCTCAGGGTTGTGAGATTGAGCCTCGTGCCAGGCTCCATGCTTAGCATGAGTCTGCTTGTCCCTCTCCCTCTGCTGCTCCCCCCATTCCTTCTCTCTCTCTCTCTCAAATAAATTTTAAAAATAATAAAAATCTTTAAAAAAATTCTCTAGCTATTGAGAGAAATGACAAAAGAAATATTAATAAATTTTATAGTATCTTAGAAAGGTCGGCAGTCCCCTTAGTGCCTATTTATTTAGTCATTCATTCAACAAATATTTATTTAGAATACCTAGCATATGTCAGAAACCTTGCTAGGCACTGAAGATATACCCATAAACCACAAAGACATGGTCCCTGCTCTCATAAAATTCAAAGTCAACAACCTCTCCAAAATTGTTAGCTAAAATGAAGATTGCATAGACTCCCACACAGTTAATTAACACAGATTGATATTATTGGAATAATTTTTATACTCAGACCCATTATAGTAAAATTTAAGAATATCAAAATAAAACTTCCAGAGAGAGATAGCAGATCACTCGCATATGAATAGATAATATTCATTTTAGACACTTCAAAAACTTCTGCAAGAGGACAACTGAGTTGTATATATATTTTTAATACTGAAGGGGAGGAAAATCTCCAAAACTAGTATTTTGCACACTTATCCAGACTGTCGTTTAAAGAAGAGAGTGCAATAAAAAAAATAAAAAAACCCTCTACCATTTAAGGCCTCAGAAACTTTGCTACACAAACACCCTCTTTAAATAAGAAAAAAACAACTCTTGAGCACAATAATAGTAGGGGACTTTCGGACACCACTTTCAATAATGGATGAAACAACCAGATGGAAAATCAATAAGAAAAGAGTGCACTTGAACAACACTGTGGACAAATTGGACCTAACAGACATATATAGAACTCTCCTTCCAGCAACAGCATAATACACATTTTTCTCAAGTACACAAGGAATATTCTCCAGGATAGACCATATGTTAGGCCACAAAAGAAGTCTTAATAAATTTTTAAAAGACTGAAACCATACAAAGTGTCTTTTCCAATCATAATGAAATGAAACAAGAAATCAACACCAGGAGGGGAAACTATAAAATTCATAAATATATAGACGTTAAACAACAAACTCTTACATAACCCATAGGTCAAAGAAGAAATCATAAGAGAAATTGAAAATATCTTGAGAAAAAGGAAAACAAAAACACAACATAAACTTATGGGATGCAGCAAAAGTAGTGCCAAGGAGGAAGTTTATCGCTGTACACATATTAAAGACGAGAGATCTCAAATCAACAGCCTAACTTTACAATTTAAGGAACTAAAACAAGAAGAACAAATTAAACCCAAAGCCAGCAAAAGGAAGGAAGTAACAAAGATTAGAGCAGATATAGAGAATAGAAAAACAATAGAGGAAATGAAACCAAGAGTTAGTTCTTTAAAAAAAAAATCAACAAAATTGACATTTAGCTAATTTTGACTAAAAAAAGAAGACTGAAATAACTAAAATCAGAAATGAAAAGATATTACTACTGATGTTATAGAAATAAAAAGAATTTTAAGAGAGTACTATAAACAACTGTACACCAACAAATTCAATAACCTAGATGAAATGGACAAATTCCAAGACACCTACACCCTACCAAGACTGAATCATGAAGAAGTAGAAAATCTGAATAGACATTTTACTAGTAAGGAGATTGAATCTGAAAACACAGGTGTCACCAAAAAAAACCCAGGACCAGATGGCTTCACTGGTGAATTCTACGAAATATTTAAAGAAGAATTAGTACCAATCCTTCTCAAACACTTCCAAAATTTTGAAGAGGAGGAACACTTCCTAACTCGTTTTATGAGGCCAGCATTATCCTGAACTACATTAAACTAAGAAAACTATCAATATTTCTTATGAATAAAGTCCTCAACAAAGTACTAGCAAACCATTTCAATGGCATATTTTTTTAAGATTGATTTATTTATTTTCAAGAGAGCGAATGAGCAGGGGAAGGAGCAGAGGAAGAGAGAGAATCCTGAAGCAGATTCCCCACTGAGTGCAGAGTCTGACACGTGGCTCCGTCCCAGGACCCTAGATCATGACTGGAGCTGAAATCAAGAGTTGGCTGCCCAACTGACTGAGCCACCCAGGCACCCCTCAAATTCAACAACACATTCAAAGGATTATACACTATGATTAAATGGGATTTATTCCTGGGTGCAAGGATGGTTCAACATACAAAAATCAATGTAGTACACCATATAAACAGAATGAAGGAAAAAATAAAACAAAACATGATCAATTGATGCAGAAAAGCATTTGACAAAATTCAATACCCTTTTATGGTGAAAAACACTCAACAAACTAGGGACAGAAAGAAACTACTTTAACATAATAAAGCCCATTTATGGAAAACCTACACCAAAAATCATACTTAATGGTGAAAGACTGAGTGCTTTTCCTCTAGGATCAGGAACAAGTCAAGTATGTCTACTATGTTAAATAGAAATTTAACATAGTGCTGGAAGTCCTAGCCAGAGGAATTAGGCATGAAAAAGAAATAAAGTGATCCAAATTGGAAAGGAAGAAGTAAGATTATCTCTGTTTGCAGATGATATAATCTTATATGTAGAAAATCCTAAAGACTACACACACACTCAAAAAAGCTGTTAGAACTAATAAACGAAGGGGTGCCTGGGTGCCTCATTCGTTTGAGCATCCAACTCTTGATCTCAGCTCAGGTCTTGATTTCAAGGTGGTGAGTTCAAGCCCCGCATTAGACTCCACGCTGGGCAGAGAGTTTACTTAAAAACAACAACAACAACAATAGCAACAACAACAACAACTAAAAATGAATTCAGCAAAGTAGCAGGATACAAAGTCAAAATGCAATATCAGTTGCATATATATACACAAGCAATGAACAATCTGAAAACAACCCAATTCAAAAAAGGGGCAAAAGATTTTGGTAGATATTTCCCCAAAGACAGTATGCAAATGGCCAGTAAATACATGAAAAGATGTTCAACATCACTAATCATTAGGGAAAGGCAAGTCAAAACCACAATGAGCTACCTCACATTACACCCATTAGAATGGCTATTAAAAACAAACAAACAAAAAACCTAGAAAACATCAAGTGTTAGGATGTAGAGAAATTGGAAGCCTGTGCATTGGTGGTGAGAATATAGATGTAAATGGGGCAGATGCTATGTAAAACAGTTTATCACTTCCTCAAAAGCTTAAACATAGAATTATCGTAAGATTCTAGACTTCTAGATTCTAGAATTATCATAGATCCAGCAATTCCAGTTCTGTGTATCTACCCAAAGGAATTAAAAGTACAGACTCAGATATTTGTATAGTCATGTTCATGGCAACATCATTCACAATAGCCAGAAGGTGAAGCAATTCAAGTGTCCATCATTGCATGAATGGATAAACAAAATGTGGTATATACACCATGGGCATTATTCGGCCTTAAAAAGGAAGGGAATTCTGACACATGCTGTAACATGGATGAACTTTGAAGACATTATGCTAAATGAAATAAGCCAGACACAAAAGAACAAATAGTATATGATTCCACTTAGGTGAGACACCTAAAGTAGCCAAATCTATAGAGACAGAAAGTAGAATAGTGTTTGACAGGGGCTGGAGGGAGGCGGGGATGGGAACTTACTGTCTAAGTTTCAGTTTGAGAAGATGAAAAGTGTTCCTGAGTGGGAGAGTAGAGATGGTTGCACAAAAATTAGAATGTACTTAACACACTTAAAAATGGTTACCTGGTAAATT